CTCAAGTTTCCAACCATGTTTTACTCGGAGACAACCACAGATAGACTCATTTATTACATCCCTTCAAAAATGGTGTCTTTTTCAACCATGTTGGCCTGAGCATTCTTCTTTGGCTTCCGACATTCGCTTGAACGATGTCCGGCCTTTCCACAGTTATAACAGTTCCCTTTAAACTTCTTAGCTTTCTTGGAGTTATCTCTACGCGATGCATCACCGAAAATCTTTCGTTTCTTCTTGACAACCTTTGGTTCCGTTTCAATAAAATTGGCTCCAAGTTGGACAATAGACCTTATCTCGGTCTTCCTATTGTCCTCCTCAATCCTTAAATGGATGATCAATTCTTCCAAGTTCATCTCCTTGCGTTTATGTTTGAGATAATTTTTGAAATCTCTCCACATAAGAGGGAGTTTCTTGATGATGGCAGCCACTTGGAAGGATTCGCTCAATTTCATCTTTTCGACATGGATATCATGCAATAGAACTTGAAGTTCTTGCACTTAGCTAATCACCGTTTTGGAATCCACCATTTTGTAGTCCAAAAACTTGCCGACTATGAACTTCTTTGTTTCAACATCCTCGGTCTTATACTTCTTTTCCAATGAATCCCATAGATCCTTTGCCAAGTCTTTCGAACTATACACCCCATAAAGTGTATTGTCCAATCCATTAAAGATGTAGTTCTTGTACAAAAAATCAGAATGCTTCCATGCGTCCAAGGCAATAATCGATTCACGATTATTCTCTCCTTCTCGTATGGTTGGCTGAGTCTCCTTTAAAAACTTTGCCAAATTGAGTATTGTTGCCATCTTTTGAAATCTACGCCTCCAAACTTTTCAGGTTTCTCCCCATGTGGGATCACAGTATTTTGTAGTGGTATTGCTATAAGCGGAACCACATTGCTCGTACCATGTTGACTTGAAGTAGCCTCTACAGTACTCATTTCTGTTACTTAAACAGAAGATTAATGCAGCAACAATAAAATGGAAATAATAGTACACGAAGACTATTCCATAAGATGACAAATACGATTTTGATAACAACAAACAACCACAAACGTGATATTGTCTTAAAATTGTTGCTTAGGGTGCATACGATAGCAAGAAAATGTTGTTTATGTAATTAAACAAACAAAGTTTAATTCACAGGAACGGGACTAAACTATATATACATATATGGGGTTGAAAATTGTAGTATGAAAAAACTAAAAATTGCAGCTAAGAAGTAAGGAGAAGAAAAAGTAGGAAATAATAATCCGAGGCAAGTGATGTCACTTTCTCTTTAAGACAATATTGCCCTGCTACGGTGATCAAAGTTGTCTGCACTTGTCTCCCAAGATACAATAGATTCAATTCTTGTGGCAGCAGCACTTCAAACCACAAGACAACGACGAACATGACGAAATTCCCTTTCTACAAGGAAAAACGGTTTTGGAATGAATTTGGGAGAGTTTTTGCAAAATATTTTTAGAATACACAATGTACATATGGTATGTGATGCAAAATGGACGTCTAAGGGTTCTATATATAGAGGATGAGGGGTTGTGAATGAAATGTCGTGCCCCAAACTCAGCAACTCTTGCCAAAGGTCGCACCATTCACTGTCACTAGCCTGTCGCCATCGCCTCGGTCGAGTGGTAAAAACAGTGACTTTTTCGCTAGCATGTCACTGGCTTGTCACTCGAGTGATAATGATGTCGCTCGAGCCACAGTCCAACAATAAGCTAGCAATAGCGTTAGTCAATTTTTTAGACAGCTTTCTCTATTTTCTTTCCAACTTTGGACCTCAATTTCTCATTTATTCGGAATTGGTTTTGAGATTCCAAATATATTACGACGATTTACTCGATGAGTAGAACAAGTTGGGTTTATTTACTTTTGTAATTTAATCATCTGATCAAGTTCGAATATTTGACCGAAGTTGACACAAAAGTCACTTTTTCCAAATTTTGGTTTTGTCACTTAACCAAATTTCAATCTTTCAAAACCAAATTCTAACACAAATAAAACACAAAGAAAGTTTCTAGTCAATTAAATATCAATAATGAATCAATGTAAAAATAAGCAAGAAACCAAACTTCCCTACCGAATTCGAAATCGTAGCAATAGGTGGTTACGAAGCTCAAATTTATCGATCTAAGATCACAAGGCAACACCACATTTGGTTGTACCAAGAATCTTACACAAACTACGAAGAAATCACCCAAATGATTTACCATGGAGATCAGTCGAACGAAGTAGCCACGAATGGGCAAAAATCGGTGAGAAAGGTCACACCACAAAGGTGTCGGTACATACTACAGTGCCAACATCAATCAACGGCAAGAGAAAGGAAATGGAACAATCACTGTTGCTACGACAGAAGCAAAGGCAGAATAGGAACAAGAAGGAGCCATCCACTATTTCACAAGAAAGATAAAACTACTTTGACAGAAGACTTGACATAATTGCAAGTGGAAGAAAGTGATTGGATGGAAAAGTTAACTGTAATTTAAATTGCTCAATGATATAATGTCACGTGGTATTATATCAAATTTTATGTCAAACTCTATATTTCTGTAGCATTATTGTCACAAGAATAAACTGTGTGTATGCAGGGGTAGAGCCCAATGAGGTCCAGTGCAGGCCTATGGGTCCAACCCAATGACCCAATTGCTTTTTATTTTTTGATTAATATGTCTACTGCCAGTCTGCCAGCCCAAGAGACCCAATACCATTCCCAGCCCTAATGTAGATGGCCCAATACCATTTCCCAGCCCAATCCATTTAACTGAAACCAACATTCTCGCAGCTCCAGCCTCCATTTCAATTCAGCCTCCTCCACCTCCCTCCACCTGAGGTCTCACAGGCCGCAGCTGCTTCGCCACCTCCGCCCCTGAGTCCGTGAAGTTCCGCAAGACAGTAGCTATTCGATTCGAGCCCTGACCAGCTGCTTTGCCCTCCGTGACTGCCGGCGATTCTTGACCGCGAAGAAGAAAAAATAGAGGTATTCCTACTTCCTTTACTCCCGAGCTCAAATTAGACAATTGGGCAGACATTGAAGGCCTTGAAAATCCAAAAATCAATAATTCATCTCCAGTAAAATTCAAAATCGCAAACCCAGTAAAATAATAAAATAAA